AGACGCAAATAAGTCGACGAAAGTTTCGTCGTTCGATTAAATTCTTATCCCCGGAGGTACCTGGCCAACTCAGGCTAACTTACGCGTACTATCGCGAAAATGTGAAGCTGCACCCTCGACTTGCTGCGTTTCCGGTCGAACGAGCGCTTTGTATCGAGAAGTTTACCCCGATCCAACGAAATTTAATCTTCCCTGCCTGCGAATTCGATAATCTGGATCATGTTAGCGGAACACGCCTCGTTTGCGTCTCGTTTCAACGAGGCTCGTCGGACGTTGCTTCCGTCGTGTAAAAGCAATTTCATTCCGGCTAGTTATCCCGTCTTCCATCCCTGTAGCCCCTGGGGAAGAGGAGAAAAAAAAGCGATACACGCGGAAGAAATATTCGTTGTTTTGGTCGAATAAATTCCATTCGGATTATCATAAGTAACACGCGGTTCGACATTTATCGCCGTGCAATTTTATCGAATGGTGTACCCGGCGTTTCTCTCGCAGACGAACGAAATATCCGGAAAGTGGAATAAATCCACTCTGTAATCCTCATAAACATTCGCGCGGACCGTATTTCGAGCTCGCCGATAACCACGCGATGGCTTTCGATTTTTCCACGTACGAGTTGGCAGAAGAAAAGGAGTGCCACCCTAGATATCCCCGAGACGTCTCGTCTTCCATGCAAATGTCCCCGCGTCGTCGCCTCTAGGCGACATTTTACGAGGGTTGATCCACCCTCTTCCATGGTGCAGTTAGCATTCGAATAGCCAAGCGAATAACCAAATGAATAGCCAAATGGATGGCCAACTGAATGGGCAAATGAATGCCAATCGTTTGAAACTTGTACGATTAGGATTCTTTTTAAGCTGGCAGAGAGTGGCGCTGGAAAAGTAACCGGCCTGGTTGTATTAATTAAGATCGATCAAGCAACTCGTTAACCCAGTTCTTTTGCTAGGCTAACGCGCTGCTTGAAATATTAATCCGAGCTCGAAGCTCGCAGAGATGTCTCCAATTTCTATGTTCGAGTTTTTGCTCCTTGGCAAATGGATTTACAGGGAGAAGTGAGCAGCAGAGTCCCGATTATCCGGAGTGCCTGATACATTGGCGTATTTAGCTCGATTATTCTTCGGCGATTGTCTCGGATCCGCGCAAACAAAGGAGACGTAACCGCGTGCATACATCAGCGAAATTGATACTAGAGGGTGTAAGGGTTTTATCGAAGCAACCCCTGAATGGCGTTCGGTTTCTTCCGCGGACTGCCCGTTATTCGTCCCGTCCCGAGGGATAATCACTAGCCGACGATTCGCGAATATTCCCGACTGCTTTCCGCAGTTCCTTTTTATCCTAATCGGTCCTCTCTCTATTGAGGGTGACTTTTTCGCGCTGCGGGCCAGCTCGCTAGGATCGCTGGTGTCCCCTCTGCCTGATAGCCGAGGTACCTAATCCTCGGTGATTGCTCGGGTAATAAATCGCATCGCGGTATTATCCATGGTTGTACGGTGGCATTATTCTCACCTTTGCCAGTGGATCGATTCCAAGTTCAAGGAGGTTCGAGAATTTTCTTTGCAGAAATAAATAAACAGAAACGGAAAAATAATTTAAGCTTGAAAAAAAATCTAAAAAGAGAAAAAATAATTAACAGCTGGAAATAAAAAAGGCATTAACACCTAAAAATGGAGAAAGATAATTCATTTATTTAAGGGGAGTGGATGGTGGTGGGGTAGCTAGCCCTAACCTCATTTCGGACCTCCACGCCTCGTGGACCACGAAAGTTTGGATGTTACACCTCCAAAGTCGAAGCGAGAAATGCCTCGAGCAGCGGCTCGTCGCCCTTTATATAGGCCCCGATCGGCCAAGCCCCCCCACTCCGATCGAAAATTTCCGAACTTTACCAATTTCGTTAATTCTTATTTCTCCGCTGTAACAGCTAATAATTTATCAATTTTTTGATCGTTATTATAAATATACGTTGTAAGCAATTTGTTAGTAACAATATTAATTTGTTATTAACAGTGGGTACGATAATTTACAAACATTTTGCAAATTATATGCACATTTTAACATGCATACGCTACAAGTTCGAGTAGTAGGCAATAATTTATTAATTTTTTCACTGTTATTACAAATTCACGTTGTTAACAAAATGGGTACGATAATTTACAAACATTTTGCAAATTATATGTACATTTTAACATACATACGCTTCGAGTAGTAGGCAATAATTTATTAATTTTTTCACTGTTATTACAAATTCACGTTGTTAACAATTTGTTATTAACAACGTTAATTTGTTACTTACGAAATATATAATAATTTATAAACTTTATTTACGCTTATACCACGACACAGAAGATACCTAACCTAACCAGTGTCTTCAGCAACTGTACCCCCCACAGTTGTATTTTACATGATTATCTTTTACTTATGATCGAACGTAGTTTCATAATCGACCAGAAGTAATCACGAGTCACGCGTACATATGTACGTTTTATGGAATTTCTCGTCCATGTACAGATTACACCAGTACTTACACGTGAAATTTCAACTTGCTACGTGTGTCTTATTTCTTCCTTAAAAGCGCTTCGCGTTTCGACGATATCTGCTGGAATAAAAAGACGAATCGTCGCGAAAGCCGAGAACATAATGGGAAAAATATCCCCCGCGCTGTCGATACATTTATCACGCGAAACGTATCATCGTTTCGGAGAGTAGGATCATCGAGGGGGGCAGAAAGAAAATAACAAAGAGCGATTTCTACGCGAACGTCGTGCCGAACGGAACGACGAAATTGCATTTCCCTCGCAAGTATCGATATGCATACTCTCCTCGTCGTCGGAATTGTTTCTCCAAGGGGGGGTACCCTTCCCGAATCGTGGACGAATATTCTCGTTGGATATTTAGCATTAAAAACATATTTTTAATAAATCGCTTTTATATTCTTTAATTACATCTATTCCGTTCCCCACTCAACGTTCCTACACTATTCTCACCCTCCATCCTGTTCTCCCTGCGAGGACCAACCCCCCGAACTTTCGAGCGATTTACAATCACGGAGCTGATCGATTTAAGGCAAACTTCACCGAGTCGCCAATATTTTGCGATACGCTTGGTCGACGGAAACGTAGCCTCCTCGTCGTCCCTCGGACCAATGGAAAGTTTCATCCCCGCTGCGCCGGGTAAACATTAATCGGGCTCCAGGGTTATCTATTCGATACTCGAGGAAAGCTGCACGATCCGTAAGAAGTTTTCCTTGCAACGGGCCGCGACTCATAAATAACGCGAGATGAAATGTAAACGAAATCGCGTATAATGCATATAATACGACTGGGAAAAGTTCAAAGTAGCGAGATTCTTTGGGAGAACGCGGAGATGCGTTGAATCCGAGCGACTCTTCGTCGCAGATGAAATTTCCAATTTCGCCTACTCGCGTTTAGGCCCGTAAACGAGTTCATTCGCGCGTCGTCGCGCTTCAATGTCCGTTCGTCTGGAAGTCGTAATTAATTCCGCGGAAAAATGTCCACGGTGCGTTATAAACTCGAGAGCGTCGCGACGCTGACGGCTTTGCTCCAGAGGAATTTCATTAGGAAGAAAATTATGCGAGCAAGGGTACCGCGGCACCTTGCCTGCACGCGTCACCTGCTAATCCTAATTGGCAAGAGTGGTAAGAAGGAACGAAATCGAGCTATCGAAATTCTGCATCGAGCTTTGCTCGTGCTCGACCTTTCAAGCTTAAAGACGCATCTGAAAGTCTATTTCCGTGGGAATTCTTCGTTTTCTTCAAAGTCGACTTTGCTAGCTCGACGTCGAATAACCCACGCGCTTCGGTTAGGTTCTCTCTTTGTCCTTGGCCGATGCAAATATCGCGAGACGCGGAAGTCTGTTAATTTTATTCAGCGAAATATGCGTTTAAACATACATCAAAGAGCCTGATTGCTAGCGGTTAGTTTACATCGATGACACATTTCTCGTTTTATTAAATTTCGTTCCCGAGTCTCGTCCTTTCCCCACGGAGATCGGGCCATTATAGGCCTCTGTTGCGAAACCACGTATTTCTTTGGAAAGCTATACTCGATTTCGAGAAACCTCGAGGAATTTGTTTAACCGTGCAGCTTGCTTTCGGATCAAAGGGAAATTAAAGGCGAAGGAAGTTGGATCCTTCGGGAATATTTCTCTCGTCGTCGAGCTCGCGGGAATTAAAATCGCGAGATGATCGCAGCTCGAGTAGCTCGATCTCGCTGAACGCCGCGAATATTCCCGGAAATAGATGACGCTCGAACGAGTCGAAATTTGGAATTCGATTGAATCCGTTCGCTGATAGTTATTTCCGTTTAACTAGTATTCCGAGCATCTCGCTAATTATAGGCCCTGGTGGGGCAAGGACGCGAGGAATGAACGGGTGAGACAGGGAGAACGATATCGTAATAGCTCTTTGAGATAGCATCTGTCAACGATTACGCGAGTCGGGGTGACAAGCCAATCGAGTCGACTTACACTCGACGAATACACCTTTAACCACGTGCGCTGGAAAGACGTGCCACGCGCTTTTGTCCCGGAATCGCCAACGACGTGGTGTACACGTCATCGGACAATTGTCACAGAAACACTGGAAGTTCTGATACACGCGTCCGTGAATTTCTTGCCAGCGCAAGTGGTTAAGAGAATTGACTCACTGGCGATCAGGAGCTCGCAGTTTTACATTCGAGGGGCCGATCGTCTTTTGTCCTCGCAGGGGGGCACGCGTCGCGAAACCTCTAGATGGTCCTGGTCTTTCCAGAACCCCGATCCGTGACAGTGTCCCTGCGTCTTGGCACGTGTGTACCCGATAGTCTATTTTCTTTGTCAGGGGTACGCGTCGCGGAACGTTCGCGATAGTTCCGATTTTTCTAGAACTGTGCATCCGCTACACGTACCCCTGCGCGATTCGTCACTGGCCATCGAACGCTCTAGACCTTTCGTGGTTACCTTATCGCGGGATTGAGGATTTTGGAACGAATTTTCGTCGAATGTTTCAGGGTACTGGCCGTTCGGAGTGCTTTGGTGTAACGTGTACGTGACGTGCGACGTGCTGGCCTGCTCGGCGAGCATAATGCACATGTGCTTCATCTCGCTGGGCCGATATCTGGGCATCCGGAACCCGCTGAGGACGCGACACACGTCCACTAAGCGTATGGTGGGCTTCAAGATTGCGGCCGTGTGGTTGCTGGCCATGCTGGTCTCCAGTTCGATCACCGTCTTGGGTAAAGTAACCTGGGACTTGGGAGATCAGCACCCTTCCAGGACACCTTATTTCCAAATATTTCCGCGAGATCCCTTTCAGTCTGAATTTCGTACGTTCGTTTATTCATTGATCGCGAAACGATACGAGATTACGTCCTCCATGCAATCTATACCGTGTCTTCGTCCGGTTAATTCATTGGAACGATCGTGGAAGTTCCCTTTCGAGAGAAAGATCATGGAGGAAGAACGTAAACCGGATGGGAGGAATCGGTTTCCTTTAAGCTCCGCGACGAGTGCCAGGATAAACGGGAAAGTTGTACGCGAGCCCGACTTCTTGCCATTCTATTCGATGAAAGCTGCTCGATATTCGAAACTATCCGGAATACGGTGCAACCGGGACACGGTTCGGTCGATAAACGATTACGGTGCTGCCCACCGGATGTTCATTTTTTCAGCAGCCGCGAAATGGGCGTAAAAATTGGCTCGCATTGCATCCACGCGGTTGCAACGGAACATTTTGCATTCCGTTTGCATTCCATTTCCATCGTCCACCGAAAA